AACTTTAGAGGAAGGAGCCGGAAACCCAATCCTAAACAGGAAAGAAGCGATAAAACTCTACTCTCGTTCAAAATACCGGTAAGGAATAGGAAACAGGCGATGAGAACGTACCTGTTCCAAGAAGGTGACCGAATATGATTAAAGACACACAAAGAAGGTCGGAGGGTAAAACGATCAAAAAGTTGTGAGTATAACAACGAAAATAAGCATGCTGGCCCGAATAATAAAGCATATTATAATAATAGTTTCTCCTGTTGAAGATTTCGACATGAATTAGGAGATAGAGAAATTTTTTAAAAATCGGTTAGAAGGAATAACAAGAACACAACAAAAGAAAACTCAAGCAGAAAAACAAAAAAATAAATAAAACAAAAAGCAAAAAACAAAAAGCAAAAAAACAAAAAGCAGAAAACAAAAGCAAACAAACAAAAATATCCAAAATTAGCAAGCAAAGTGACCTTTGACGTAGAGGTCACGTGGATCGCAATAATTGTGAATTCGTGCATCTTGCTTTTTTTTTGTCTTGCTCGTATCTATTATTTTATTTTTCGTTTTTTTTTTCATACCTCTGTGCATTGGTAGCATTTAGCTAGACAACCTCTTTGCAAATCCTGAAATGTAGAAAATGCCGCAGAAATATTAAAACCAGCGCGGGCAATACATAAAAAAAAAATAACAATTAAAAGAATAAGAAGAAAGGAAGACTACGTCTTGTCCTCAGAAATAAATAAAAAAAATATCTGTCAGATTATGACCGCCACCGTTCAGGCAGACCCCAAAGAGTGAAGACTGAAAGAAAGGAGAAAAATGGATAAATATCTGGAAAAAAATGCGAAAATAATGCTCATTATTGAAGTAATTGGAACAATGTCGAAGAGTCTTGCGAGCAAAAAACAAAAAAAAAAAGACGTAAAGAAAGTGAAAGAATCAGTTTTACTAGATAAGCTATCATAGGGAGAAAAGTTGAACAATTAGGAAGATTTGCTGTTATTTGTTATGGAAGCCCCTAAATTCCATTTACGTGAAAACTGATCTGGTATACTTATCCTTATCATAGTATCTTGTAATGTTTCGTCAGACGTATTCACCGGTATTCACCTGTATATTGTTATGAAGTGGAATTTCCGTTGTATTTTATCAGTTTAGCGAGAGCTTGATTTTTAGTGCGCCCACGTCGCTATCGAATGTGTCAAAAGATCAGTTTAAAGTAGGTTTAACGGCAATGACGCCGAAGAATTCTCAAGAACCCCTCGGCATTTTCCCATTTGGGGGACTACTCAAGCGCCGGCAATAAACCTATCCCCCTCCTGAAGAAAAGTTATCCCTTATTGCCTGGGCTACTATAGGAGCGAATACCCCTGCTGGTCATCACACGATACTTGCATGCCGTGAGCTAGTATAACGTTACTGCATGGGCATTTAGATAGTCTATGCCTTAGCTATACTAATTAGTCATTTACATATTATTTATAATATATATAAGATCTCAAATATTTTGATTAAAAATATAAGAATCAGTGATTCAATCATAAGTAAATATTACGTTATGATAAGGTCAAGTGTGATGATTTTGAAACACCTTAAAGCTCAAATATTATCCAAAGACAGTGTAGAATTCTAGAAATATACATCACCTTACGAGTTTCCTGAGGGCAACGCACACACACACACATCCATATATATTGATGCATGTTTCATTAAATAATATAGACAAATTTTTTCTTTTCATATCGTCTGATGTTATTACATTATTAAAAGAAGAAAGAAAATCACAATATTGATACATATTTTTTAATCCAATGTAATATGGATCAATACTGTGATTTCCTTTCTTCTTTTAATGATAATGTTATTAAGCTTATCAGGCGATATGAAAAGAATTTTTATAAATAGCCAAAATATATATATATATATATATATAGGGAGAGAGACAGAGAGATGGGATAAAAGGAGAGGGAGTGATAGGAGAGAGATCTTTATATATATATATATATATATATATATATATATATATATATATATATATATATTTCTGGGACATTCGGTCATTTCCTTCCTTTCAAAAATAGGCATCACTCGCCGTTGGTCGAAAAAGCGTTTCGCATCGCCTTCAAAAAACTGTTCAACACGCGTCAAGTTGGATTTGTTCGAGATCAAAACAAGCAAATAAAATGGCGCGCAACATCACGACCTAAGATGCGCAAGTGAGATATTTGCGTGGTCGTCTATTATGATTTTTACGAGCGCGTCAGTCAACATAAGATAAGTACCAAATATTATATTTTACTTCAGATGTCAAGTCCCTTACAGATGTTTTTGGTACTTATCTTATGTTGATTGTCACAAGCCTGAATATGTACGTCTTTCTAATATGACTGCCAGGAACAAAAGAGGATGCTTGACTTTCGCGCGTAAAGATCTCTCGGGTAGTTCACGTGACTATCTATAGATTTGTTTTTAGCTTTTTAAAAGGGTTAGTCAAAGGGAGATAACTTTTTGCCTCTCGCAACAATATAAGAATCAGTGATTCATTCATAAGTAAGTATTGCGTTATGGTAAAACCAATTATTATCCAGACAGTGTAGAATTCTAGAAATATACAGTACCTTATGAGGTTTCCTGAGGGCAACGCACACTCACACACGCACGTACAGACACATATTTGTGTTTGTGTACACACACACACACACACACACACACACACACACACACATATATATATATATATTTGTAGGGAGACAAAGAGGAATGGGATAAAGAGAGATAGAGAGAGAGAGAGAGACAGACAGAGAGAGAGAGAGAGAGAGAGAATCTTCGTAATCATAGGCGCGCATCTTCCTTGTTGGAAACTGGCCATAATTACTGCTCAAATTACCACATTTTGACATGACTTCAGGTCAGAGAATAAGTAACTACTTGTTTGTTCATACAAACTCTTATCGATGCAACGTTCAGAATGCATCTCAGGTGTTGCGACCCGTATCGAAAATGATCGGGAGTCAATATTTAATTTCCGGGATTTGACGCCGGAATCTTTCGGTATGACGCCCCCCCGCCCCGCCATGACCAAACCGGAAGTTCTTTTTAATTCCCCAAGAATAGCGCCTTGACGATGAATTGGCAGGTACTTGGCAGGGATTCGGTCATGAGAAACAATTAGAGGCCCAACCAAACAGTAGCAGATTCTCCAAGGTGAAAATCAGGGAATGGTATCGATTTTGTGGCTGATTGATTCTCTAAGACAGAAGGAATTGAAACTTGAATCAAATCCGATCAAGACTTGACAGAGTCTTGAATGAACGAATCTATTATTGAGATTTGCCGGGAGAAAAACAATTCCTGTTTATTTTTAGCCGCTAAAATTCTTAACATTAGATTTGACGTTGTTTAAACCTAGTTGAGTAAGCCTAGTTGTGTAACGATAGTTGAGTAAGCCTATTTGAGTAAGCCCAGTTGATAAAACCTAATTGAGTAAGAGTAGTTGAATAAGTCCAGTTGAGTAAGGATACCTGAAGAAGGCTGGAAGCGTAAGCCAAGATGAATTAGCCTAGATGAGTAAGCCTAATTGAGTAAATCTAGTTGAGTACGGTTAGTTGATTTAGACTAGTTGAGTAAGTCCAGCGGAGTAAGCCTAGTTGAGTAAGCCTAGATGAGTAAGGCAAAAGACTAAAGAGTTGAGTAAACCTATTTGAGTAAGTCCAGTTGAGTAAACCTAATTGGGTAAGGGTAGTTGAGTAATTCTAGTTGAGGAAGTCAAGTTGAGTAAACCTAGTTGAGTAAGGTTAAATGGATAAGCTTAGATGACTAAGCCAAAAGACTAAAGAGTTGAGTAAACATAGTTGTGTAAGTCCATCTGAGTAAGCCCAGATAATTAAGCCTATCTGAGTAAGTCCTGTTGTGTAAGTCCAGTCGAGTAAGTCTAATTGAGTAAGGGTAGCTGAGTAAACCTAGTTCAGTAAGGATAGTTGAGTCAGGCTAGAATCGTTAACCAAGATGTATAAGCCTAGATGAGTAAATCTAGTTGAGTACGTCCAGTTGAGTAAACATAATTGACTAAGGGTAGTTGAGTAAGTCCATTTGAGTGAGCCTAGTTGTGCACGTATAAGGCTAGTTGAATGTCCAGTTGAGTAATCCTATTTGAGTAGGTCCAGTTGAGTAAGCCTATATTGAGTGAGCCTAGTTGAGTAAGGCTAGTGGAGTAAGGTAAAAAACTAAAGAGCGATATTTGGGGATGTGCTGTATTGTGGCAATTTTTCATGTAGGAAAGGCTGACTAGCACTGAAAAATCAGCATTCGATTTCCAATTATTTTTTCGTACCTGGGTTCGAACACTAATCTGTAGCACGTGTGGAATATAAGCAACTAACTCTCAAGCATGGACCAAGCTAGTATTTACTAAAATTAGACAAGTGCCGCACAAGGCCAAATGTGACGAAAATTGAGTCAGGCATTGTGTTGCCTCTTGTCTTCCATATTAAAAAGAGTTACTTAGCTTTGAATTCAAAATAGGTATTCAATTTAAATTCGATATTAAAAATTTGAAAGGAACTGGCATATTGTAAAAATCAACAATCCTTATATTTCAACTGACTCCTTTACCATCAGGAGGGAATGAAGCAACATTCGGATCCACGGGAAAAAGGCCACTTAGGGTCAGCGTTTATACTTTAGGTGAATGGTGGTAAGTAGCCATAATGTATGATTATAACTTCCTATGAAAAAAGGAAATATGATGTTAAGCAATGTTGAATCTTGTTTTTACGGATTTTGCACATTATATAAAGCCAGAAAATATTTTTAGATTGTAAAATTTGTTTGGAGTTAATAATGATTTAATGATACAAGTCTTACTAATTAACCCATAGCTGGAGGCGAATTCATTCCTTTCGCAGAGATTTTTTAACGCATAAGTGAATCTGACGAAGCCGGCTAGAATTGGAAATCAGTTCTCGGTTTAACATTTCGGAGTCGTTATCATTTATACTAGCAGCACATTCAAGCTTACAGCATCTGGTATTCACAAGCCGTCACCCATCTAAGTACTGACAGGCTCTAGGTTGCTTAACTACGAGAACCGGTGTTTCAAAGTGATGTAGCCGCAAGTCGTCTAAATGTCGAAAGGTAACTACAAATGTGGCTCCAGAAACCAGAGGATATTTATTTACATAAAATATATTGTTATTTGCATCGTTGTGCAGTACCCTGTCAGTCGATATGGGTGACAATAGGCGGGTAACTACCGTGTCAGTCGATCTGGGTAACAATTGCCGGCTAACTAACGTGTCAGTCATTCGATTCGTATAACAATTGCCGGCTAACTACCATGTCGATCGATCCAGGTAACAATAGCCGGGTAACTACCATGTCGATCGATCCGAGTAACAATAGCCGGGTAACTACTGTGTCGGTCGATCCGGGTATCAATAGCTGGGTAACTACCATGTCGGCCGATCCGGGTAACAGTAGCCAGTTAACTGCCGTGTCAGTCGGACTGCTGGGTAACTAACGTGTCAGTCGATATGGGTAGCTGAGTAACTTCCGTGTCGGCCGATCCGGGTAACAGTAGCCGGCTAACCACCGTGTCGATCGATCTGGGTAACAATTGCCGGCTAACTACCGTGTCGATCGATCCGGGTAACAGTAGCCGGTTAATTGCCGAGTCAGTTGATCACGGTAACAACTGCCGGGTAACTAACGTGTCAGTCGATATGGGTACTGATAGCTGAGTAACTTCTGTGTCGGCCGATCCGGGTAACAATAGCCGGGTAACAACCGTGTCAGTCGGCCCAGGTAGCAATAGCCGGGTAACTACTATGTCGATCGATCTAAGTAACAACTAGGTTAATGGATTAAAGCGTTGACTGGTGAAATTGGTGACATAGTCGTTCTGAGTTCAATCCCTGGTTCGGGTAGGATAGACTGAGACAGTGGAGGCAGAGCAAGCAGTAACTGAGCAATACTAAATCAGAACAAAACTGGATATTGCTAGAGATGAACAGCGGAGATGGACAACTGAACATTAAATAATGATTTCAGTTTTAAATTCCCTGATGGTTACCCGAATCGACAGACACCTGAAGACGACCGGAGAGAACAACAGCGAAACTCATTTGACAAAAATGAGGACAATAAATTACCACCGTCCCTGAGAAATTTAGACATAAATTTCTTGGATATCTGATTTGGTTTCCGGAACTGGTTCATGAAACTTCAAACATTTCGTCATAATTTTCATCTAATGATGACATGTACAATCTATACATGTAGGTAATCAATGTTTGGTAAGCTCACATATCAATGGAAAGAGGGGCACTTCAACGTGGTGTAATAGCAAGATTGTCTCGCTAGAGCATTTACAACTGAAAAGTGAGTTCGATCCTCAATGGGTGCACTCAAACTGGCCTTGTGTCATAGCTGAACTACACTTAGAAATTCACCATATTAATGGAAAGAGAAATAGCAAAAAAAAATAAGGAAGGGCAATAGGACAAAAATAAGAGATATATAAAGGATTAAACAGCAAAAATAGATGTCGGAAGGACACATAGCAAGAAGAAACAATAACGGGTGGAGGAAAAGATTGCTTGATTGGTAGCAAACGAAAAAAGAAAATACTACATAGACGATGGAAACAGGGTTTGTTGGTATAGAATAGCACAACCACGTTTGTCATGAAAAGGTGTCCAAAAGTCTTTTGTTCAGCTGTAGGTTAGCAATGGCTTATACTATTGCTGATATATATGATGATGATGGACTCTCCTGTCGGTTTCGACGTATGAGGTTCCGAAAACTTTGTTTATTTAACCTTGTGTGTGAGTCGCAAGTGATATTTCAGTCCTGCTAGTGATTTGCAAAGAAGTCCACAGATTGTGCAAGAGTGTGGATTCTTGGAGTATATGGCTGGAACAGCAGCAGATATTTTATTCCTTTCCCTAGTTTGATGAAGCTTGACAATGTTTGATGCTGCCTTGTTCTTGATGCCATTGTAGCATGTAGCCTTCCATTCATTACGATCAATTACGATGTTCTCAAAGGTAGTGTGATTTATATTCGCAGCTAAGAGGTTACTCTTCAGCTTTTCCTTGTACCTAAGCAAAGGCCGGACCCACGTTTCGGTGACCATTGTCAAGTTAACCATACATGAGCATTTTTGGAATTCTGTTGTCTTGCATACATAACACATGACCTGTCCAGCGTAATTGTGATTTCAGGGGAGAAAGGACTCAATACCATCAATATCACACATGGTGAAAAGGTCTGCATTTGCCATTCTGTAGCTTAGGTTTACTCCACAGATTTCCGAAGACAGCTGATATATATATATATATATATATATATATATATATATATATATATTAAGAAATGGACAAAAGTCCGACAATTTATTTATTAAAGTTTTTTATGTTTTAACGTTCTTTTTATAGATACAAATATTTTTAAGAAAATGCTCGACATTTATAATAAGCAGTATTAAATAACATTTACCGGCCTGAATATTTTCTATTAAAATTTGTCCGGACATAAAAGGCCGTTAAATATAAAATGTCTTTAATATATATATATATATATATATATATATATATCTATATATCTATCTATCTATCTATATATATATATATATATATATATATATATATATATATATATATATATATATATATATATCAAAGCGGGAAAGGTTTTCTTGTGATGTGTTTTATTCTTAAGGAATTCATCGGGCTAAATCAGATGAATTTCTAAAGGACGAAACGCGTCACAAAAACTTTTTTCCCCCAATATTGTTCTTGATATATAAAATATATATTCTTACACACACACACACACACACATATATATATATATATATGTAGGTCATCGTCGAATTACAACCACGATTTGTTACGATCGACGTGTCGTAAGTTAATCTGGCCATAAGACGGCCTGTAATTAATTATTAAGTCTCGTTATAATCTATAACTGTCGATCGCATAGCTGTAGAATCTTTCATAGCTTTACAAATTCTTTCTCTGTCCTTCAAATTCGTCGACGCATTAGAAGGTGATCACTTCCGGTGACGTGCGATTACATTTCCTTTCTTTCTTTCTTTCTTTCTTTCTTTCTTCGTACCGGTTAATCGCCATCATTTTTTCTTTCGAGACCAAATGGCCTTTCTTTGCTTCTTGGCGGGTTGAGGACTAGGCGAAGACAGTTTCCTCTTGGTAGACATCTTGGGTGTTTTTTGAAGAAAAATTTCAAAGAAACAAACGGGCTCGGGGTAAAGTGAATTGTATTGAGGCTGGCCTAACACTGAGCTTGAGACGTGCGATTGAATGTTAAGGCAGCCGGCCGTTGGGGCGGTAATTTTCGTACACCAAGTTGGGAAACATTCACGTTGCTAGACGCGAAGCAGTCCTGGCCAGACGGCAAGGCATTACAATTCGCGGTCGTGATCGTAAAGTCGAATATTTCATTCGACGACGATCCATATATATATATATATATATATATATATATATATATATATATATATATACATATACATATATATACATATATATATATATATATATATATATATATATATAAAGTCAACACTTAGAGGCGACAGTCTGTTTCATACTATATGCAATCGTCAGGCCACCGATTGCATCTAGCATGAAACAGCCTGTCGCTCTAATGTTGACTTCTATGTTCACTTTTATATTTACATACTCTACCTCTGATATTGAGCACTTTATCCCATAAATATAGCACACCTTAAGACTATATTTCTTAATATATATATATATATATATATATATATATATATATATAAAGGGAGATAGAGAAAAGATAGAGAGAGAGAGAGAGAGAGAGAGAGAGAGAGAGAATTTAATCACTGACCTCAACTTACATTACCAGTATCAACTCATTACAAAATTTCGATTATTGAAAAAACGAAAAACAAAAAATAAAATAATAATAATAAAAAGAGATGATGTTGAAAAGTTCTCGGCCTCACCGACTTCCGCAAAGCTGAACAACTAAATAAGCATTTTTCTTGGTCGGACAAATTATAGCAACACCTTGCTTACAATCAAAATAAATAAATAAATAAATAAAATCAAGAAAGTCAATAATAAACAATCTTATCCCAATCCAACAATCATTCTAAAATGAAAAAAAAAAAAAAACAAAACAAAAAATTCATCACGAACAATTATATCAATCCATAAAGGAAAATCATATACAACAAAAACATCGGGAAAACAATTGACAATTGTAGAACGAGGGAGCAAACCGTGTACACATCCATGCATTGACATGAATAACTGAAATGAAACAGGGAGGTAACTCTAAAAGCAACAGGAAAAAAAAAAAACTTGCATAGTAAGCCTCTGTCGCATTTTACGTCAGATAGTTAAGGATTCTTGCTAAATCAGCTTACGAAAATCTGTCATATTTAAATTTAATACTGCTATCTTCTTTTGTAAATGGACACAGACAGTATTTCCTAAATGGAAATATTTCTGTGTAGACATTCCGGCAAAAATTCCATGAGTTATTCAATATTATTTATTTGTTTGTTTAGCAGCATATCAACTCCTTATGGGTCATTTAACGCAGAAATTTAATTTTCTAGGGGAGGGCATTACTTTTTATTAGTAATTTCTGTTACAAAAATGTATTATTGATAATTTTTTTTAACTATGAAAATGTATTGCTGTATCTATTACTATAAAAATATATTTTCATACTTTCATAGTGTTTTGAACCAGTTTTATGAGTAACTATTTGCAACCCTAACAGGTGCTCCCACCCCGGATCAGGGGTAGATCTGGGAAGAGTAATTAAGTGGTGGTTCCACGCTTTTTAAAAACTTCCGATCAGAAGCATTGCTGCCGGGTGTAGTTTATCGTCATACCCAGGACGTCAATATTTTTTATTCACATAATGCAAATACAGAAGATATTTTATCGTTTCGAGATTTTCAACAATTTTCTTTAGTAAAGAGAAATATTAATGTGAGAGGACTTTTTTTCATATCAACCTATATTTTCATTACATTAATAATCGATTCACAACGTCGTCGAGCATGTCTGACTACTTCCACCTTTGCCAAAAAAAAAAAAAAGAAAAAGCAAATAATAAATAAAAATAAATAAAAAAAATGTTTCCTATTAAGACGATACAACGGCAGATATTAATAAAATTTCTATAAATGTCTCCGTTTAGTGCAAATCCGTGTGGAAATGCGAATGTAATTTCACATTGAAGCCCTTGTAATCAACGTTGTCAATTAGCAATTTCTTGCGCAGAGGAATTAATGTTGGAATTGGCAAGACAAACTCGTCATTTTGGGCTCCCTAATATATAGTGATGAGTCATCACAAAATCTCTGATATTATACAATGCAAGGATTTTGCTTTCACTTTTCAATCGATGTGAATCATAGATTCTTTATTGCAAGTACATCAATAAATTGGAAATCTTCGTTTTATACCCCCGTCTCCCAGTGGCATGATCATATCATCAACCTTGAAGTTCTGGAACACCAGGATTCAATGTATGTTTATCAAGGCTCATCTCCGGTGAGAGAGGCATGCTGTTTGTAGGGAGAGAAATTTATAACCAAAAGCTTAATGCGTGGAATGTTGGCATAAAAAAAAAAAACAACAGAGAAAGGCCACCCCACAAATTATCTAGCTAGCTAGCTACCTAGCTAAAAAATAATCAATATCATCAACAGTAACAACAAAAACTCAATTTCGTTTCGTAGGCTGATAAATCACACAGCTTAACGTCTTCTATAGTGTATCTTTCCCTTACGCGGTAAATTGTTAGGATACTTGAGGGCGTTCTCTAATTTTAAACTATTTTATTTTTCTTCACGCACTCTTGTTTACAAATACACTTTACTAAATAAAATTTCTACACTTGCCCCTTGATAAATGAGGAGAACCGAATTCGAATCCATTACATTCACTTACGTGCTAATACACTTGGGAAAGCTGTGAATCATTTTCTTCTCCCCCCAGCTATGGGTAAATAGCAGGATAGACCGGGTTTTATAGCCTTGGATGGCAACTGGTCTACCGCAGAAAAATGGCAACCTACTGCGGGAAAATAATCTACCTCGTCAGTCATGTATCGAAAGATACATGATCGCCTTAGCGTGTATCACGCATGACACATAACTGGCTGATATATATTATGTTTTATTCTTCATATTTCTGCTACAAGAGAGCGGTGTGTGTATGCTGATTCCTTATTAAAAGACGGTATGTATATATGGGTAGGAAATATATGCAGGCCAACAGGACCTCACGCCACACACAAGAATGGGAAGACATCTCTCGTCAACGCATCTATCATCACCACCTCTCATATCAAACCTAATGGTTTTATTAACACTTAGGCAGAAATTCACTTTTGACAACAGCCCAGAAAGGAGTTCAAGGCTCACTAACAAATATAGAAAAAAAAAACAATGAGATATAAAAAGAACATTATGAAAAATTATTTCTTTCAAAAATTTATTCCTTTTATTTGCCTGAAGAAGGTCACAACATCGGAAACCCGTGTAGCAGAAATATGAAGAATAAAATATAATATATATACTAATAGAAATGCACATTATAGCTAAAAACGTTTGGAGTTTTTCTTTTTTTAAATATCTATCTATCTATCTATCTACATATATATATATATATATATATATATATATATATATAGTTGTATATTTAGGCAGCAATCCTTCCTTTATGCATGTTTCTTTAAAAACGACAGACAAGGTACTACGGTTGAGCTTTTTATTTAATTTTTCTTGTGTTATGACAAGAGCTTTCTTTTCTGGACAAAGGGTGTGTAAGAACTGTCCGAATGTTTTATATTTTCGAGCGCTTTCGGCTATAAATTTAGCCATTATCAAGGATGATTCGATTTTCAGCTTAGTTGAGTGTGTGCGTTCTGTGTATGTATCAGTGTGTGGTAGGGTTGTTTTTTAAATTTCCGAATACTGTTAGCACATTGTGGCTTTGTTCGTAGTTAATATTGTTAAGAGTTGGCTTTTTATTTTTTATTATTAGAGCTTCCATTATTTTTAGTCTTTTTTTGTAAGTGGATGCAGTTAATATATTTGTGTTTTCTAATAGTATGTTCCTAATGGTGTCGGGTAAATCTGGGTGTGTGTTTAAATGTGTTCTGATGGAGCTGTATATATATATATATATATATATATATATATGAAGAAATATAGTCTTAAGATGTGCTATATTTATGGGATAAAGTGCTGAATATCAGAGATAGAGCGTGTGTAAATATAAAAGTGAACATAGAAGTCAACACTTAGAGGCGACAGTCTGTTTCATACTAGATGCAATCGTCAGGCCACTTCTTTATATATGAGAATTGCTGCCAAAAATAAATAAAATCAACCAGGATTATAGCAACAAAGTTCTTAAATGTTTGTGGCCTGACGATTGCATCTATCATGAAACAGACTGTCGCCTCTAAAATGTTGACTTCTATGTTCACTTTTATATATATATATATATATATATATATATATTAGTACTAGTACTAGAGTACCCGTGCCGTCAATATTGATGGCAAGAAGGAATGTATCATAAGTAATATGTATTATATTGTAAGTAATTTTTGTTTGATCCATGTACAATTTATCAATTTAAAATGATTCGTTGTTAATGTTAATATTAGGTTGGTGCAAAAATAATGACGTAATAATGTCGTTTTTCGACGTTAAAAAAATACGTCAAAAAACGACATTATTACGTCCTCATTTTTGCACCAACCTAATAATTGAATAGTGTACCATTTATAATCGTCCCAGGAAAGATATCCGTATATTATCCTCATAAATGTAACATATTTACAAACAATTTTTTTTTCACTGCAAAAGTTCCCATCGCACAATAACGTAAATTTCTCCATCCTTCTACTTGTGTTTTTGTTACATGTCAAAATTCTGAGTGTTGAGGTTCGATTTAGTTCTTACTGTGAACTGTGTCGCCCTAGGGAGCGGTTCTCTTTGTAGATCACCTCACATTCCCTCGTCAACTTGTACGAAAAGAGAGGGAAATAAGGGGACCATGTTGTAGCGTTAGATTTTTTTGCGTGTGGACGTTGATAACATTACTCGTAGCAAGAATTTTTACCCAGTTAATGCAATCTTCAGATGTGGATTCTGACCGCTATCT